GGATGTAAGCAGTCACCCTGGGTAACAAGTGTGCAGGGAGGAAGCAGAAGAGAATGGTGATGTCAAACAGGCTGTAATCCAGAATGCAATCACTAGTTAGGTGATGTGGATCAGGCAGCTATAACTGTACAGAACTAGGATACAGATGATCAAGCTAAGCCAGGTGTCAGACAACAAAGACCCAGCAAAGCAGCCTGAAAGTACAGATATGTTGGCTTGAATCTGGAGCAAGAAGGTGGGAACAAGGACGAAACAGGAAACCAACATCCTAGAAACAGGGAACCAGGAACAAACCAGAAGGACCTTACAACTGGGACACTAACATGGCACAATTAGGCAGAGAGGTACTAGTCATATTGAGTAGCATACTGAGCGCTGAAAAATCTGCTATTTATAAACTGGGAACCATGCCCATTGCCTATACAGGCAACTGGGACCAGCTGGGGATAGGGGTCATGTTATAAAACCAGTGGCAGCCAGGCCCTTCAGGTAACCTGGGCCAGCTGAAGGCAGTTTAGCTGGCTTCTGCTGCATATTGCAAAAGTTGATTACAGGTTTAATAGTGCTATAATTATATGGCTTACTTTTTCTGCAGTTGTAAGTGTTGCTCTCTTCCATGCTTCCACAAAAGCCCATCTAAGATTGTAACCCATTTAACTCATCTTGTTAACCTTCTGGTACATACATTGCACCTCCCTGAGCCTTTACACTTATGATTATTAGAGTTGGCTTAATTTATATATTTTGGTGAATCTATTCAATAAACAAGTATGGGAAATATAAACCTAAAAGGAAATTTTTAAAAAGTTATGAATAATTGAAAAAGGGGAATTAAAAGAAACAAAGAAAGAAAGATTTTCAAAGTGACATAAAATGTGCATGAAAGAGATTTATAGTCACCTACAATGTCTTTTTTGTTGCCATTTTGAATCCTAATAAGATGTAAGTGTATAAGTGTATGGCTCATATTAACAGTAGCCACATTATTCACATACATTTTAATGAGCTTTATCTCACAGTAACACACATCTTATTACATATTTATATACTGCTCATCCCAAAAGATAGCAATATTCAAGATAAAAATAGAAATGCAAGTTGTGTTTTATTTTTTTTGTGACACCTATTCACAACAGCAGAACTTGTTTGGAATGCTATTTTGAGCCAATCTGTATGAAAAAAGATACTGCTAGTGTGGCAGGGTTACCTATCTTCACCCATTTCCTCAGGCTTAGAGAACTGCCAAAGTGATTGGTGGGGCAAACCTACCAATCAGAGATCAAAAGGGGAGAAGCCTTGGGAGGAGTCCACCCACCCCTACATCGGGGCGAGGTGAGGAGCAGACCTAACTGAAGACTGCACTCCACCTCCTCCTGATTGGCCAGTCTTCAATCTTGGGGCCGACCCCCAGAAGGGTATATAAGGACAGCACACGGGTGAGACAAGGAAAAGAGAAGAAAGAAGAAGCTGAGGCTGAGCTACCCAGAGGGCACTTCCAGTTACCCTGAAGAGCCCGAAGACTCTGCCATTGGACCGGAGCGGCAGACGGCCGTGTCCCCAACCCCTCGCTGCTAGAGAGCATAGCGAGCTGGTGCAGGCGTTGCTGCATGGATGATCCAAGAGGGACTGGGACCTTGGGAGCTGCTCGAGGTGGCTCTGATCTCCAACCCCGGCACGAGGCTAGACTGTGCAGGCATCACTGCACAGAGGGTCCAAGAAGGAGGTATATAAGAGTAGGAGAGCTATTTATAGTTGGAGACCTGAGCTCAAGGCAGCTCAGGTCTCCAACCCTAGCACGAGGCTGGCACCGGTCCAGACGCTGCTGCACGGTGAGTCATTGTTGGGCTGAGTTCCTTTGGAGGGGGCAGGCCCCATTCCCCACTGCCAGGTGTGAGGGCCGGTAGGCAGCGGAGGCTCCACAGTGCAGCAGGCCTGTACTGGAGCCCCAGCCCTAGGCTAGACAGCTCAGGCCCACAACCTGCTGAGAAGGCTGAGCCATTCACCCCACACAGGGACTGAGACCGAGCACCCGCTGCAGGAGCCGCTTGTCTAGCCGGGGACGAAACACCGGGAATCCTTGCTGAACTCTACTCACTGGGAAGTGTGAGTTCTCAGAAAAGGCGTTCCCCACTGGGGAGGGACACAGTGGATAGCCCCATCAGAGTGGGTTTATACTAGAGAGGGGGAGATTCCTCTAGAGGAGGTGGGTATTTCGGATTACCACAGCTTAGATTTTGGAGTGTTTATTAATTGCTTGTTGTCTTTTCTATTCTGGAGAGTTTATTAACTGTTTATTGTGCTTTATATTTTGAGGGTGCTTACCCATCAATTGGGACATACCCTCTGAAGATCCGTGGGTGAAGTTTCTCCTGTGGGTCTTGAGGACTGCTATACTTACCTGTTCTGTTATTTGTTGACTTGAAATGTATTATATGTAAATATTTATCTTTATCACCTATCCAGTTTATTCTATCCCTTCCCTTTTTATTCTGCATCTGAATAAACCATGTATATAGTTAAGGTATTGTATCCTGGTCTTCCTCTATACAGGCACCAGAGAAGGGGAAGCTGCGAGCAAACTGCAGTTTCCATCTTCAGCACATAACACCCTGCTGACCATCCCCTTCTATTGGAAAGGGGGGGTACACACCCCAGTACACCTGAGTTACATTAGGAATAAGTTATGCTTTTAGCATTTATTAATCTCAACGTAAAATAATCAGCCAAAGTTTTGTTGTTACTTTATTATTGCCCTGGATAAGGGCAAAAGCATGGTGAAATTGAACTTTAATATCCTTGTAATAATAAAAATGATAATAGTAATAGTAATGCTAATAATATTTTTTTTAAATGTGGATTGTGCTAGGATGGGAAATTTCAGAATGTTTCCTGTTTTGTCCCATCTTAGTTAGGAAAATGAAGATACTTTTTTCATTCACACAGAAAAAGTAATCCTAGTTCTAATTTTCCATTTGATATGCTTTCAGTTAACTATTTTAAAATGAGCTATTGTATGCTGTTGATTGTTATTTTTTTTTATTTTACTTGCATGCTATTTTAAGTGCTAGATTGGCAAAACATATATTATTCATTAAGAAAGCCAACTTTCAGATAAATGTATTGGCACAGACCATCTTGCCCATCCTACCTTTGAACATGTACACTATCCTGATCTAATCATGTGCTACATTGCTTTTGGAATGCATCACCACCACTGGCCACAGCTGCTTAACAAGCATAACCTCCCCAAAAGTCTCAAAAGCAAATGATTTATCAGGTGGAGCTGCCCGAGCTGTCACTCAAATCATTCATTCCTCCAACCTACTAGCTTTAAAATATCAGTCTTTATAACAGATTTTCCATAGTTCTTTTGGGAAATTTCAACTCTCATACAGTTTAAAAAAAAAAAAAAAGTTCTCCTACTCTTATATACCTCCTTTTCTTCTATTTTACAAAATAAAACAATAGACTACTTATTTAACTGGTTATGTCCTTTTATTTGGTCCCAGACATGGAGGTTTGTAAGAAATGAAGGAATTCAACAGCTTCTAGAGCAGTGATTTGAATAAACTGTAACCTGAAAGAGGATTTATTAACACTAGTATGAGGTAACAACTTCTAATCAGGATGATGATGGAAGAAAGCCATTACAATCTAAGAACTGTTTAAGTAACCTCACTCCCATTGTAATGGCTTCTATATTTCTAGGTTCTTATGCCAGTTTAGATGTAATGTTACACTTAGATCATACTAAGGGCACTTAAAACTCAAGCATCCGCATGTTAAAGCTTATTAACTCGTGCCAAGTTATATTCTCTGCCCTGGTTCACCACTCCTCTAGTGGCAAGCTGGAGGCTGTGCATGCAAGAAATGATATTAACCCTTAACATGCAATTGCTTGCAGCACATCGATTTAACATTCCTCAAATTTGTGTAACTTCACTCTTACTCAACATACAAGCTAGGGCATTAGCTGATGATTCAGTTCTTAGTGCACAGGTGAACAAAATAAAATTATCATTCAAATTGCTACCCTTCTTGCCTGTTCAAGCAGAAAGGGCAAAGAGAGAATGGTCACCAAGACTGCACTATATATATTGTTGTTACTTATGCTGTATCTTTTCTTTGGTCATCTTCCAGGGTCAATAATTCTTCACTTCTAACTACTATATAATTCATGTCAGCAAATGAAAAAATATCTCTTTCTCATTACACTTAAAACCCCTTAAAAGAAAACCTCAGGCTGTGTGAAGCAGTCTTTAAATAGGTGTCAGTGTAATTTATGCATACTGAAAGGCCCCTTTGCGATGCCAAAGCAGCATAAGGTGCAGCTTCTGTAAATGAAAATCAGACCCAAGATGCCTTCAGCTCTCAGAGCATATCCAAGTGGATTCGCCTGTAAAATCTGTCTGTTCATTTTTACTTGTTCTCTACTTCACTAAGAGTCTATTTTGATAGGACCAGAAAGCACTTCTCCAGTTTTGACTCCTTGGCAGTGGCTAGCTAATGAAACTATATTTCCTTCTGATGCAGTTCTAATACTTCTCTCTTTTTCTTTGAAATGTCGTATTCTAACTGTAAAGAAAGAGATGCACCTCTTCTACAGGTTTCTGTGTCAAAAGCTCCACTGATACACAGTTAACTCAACTCTCCACACTGTGATGCTCTCAGCTATTTTCACCAGTTTGAAATTCCTTGGTGTGTGGGTTTTTTTTTTTTTGATGAAAAGCAACTGCTTCCAAAGGTCACCACTTCTCCCTCGGCCATCCCTTTCCTCTGATGTGCACAAAACTTCTCATGTTGCACTTCAAGAAACTGTGCAGCAATCAAACCAAGTTTTGTGTGGTTTTCCTGAATGTATGATAAGCATGGTGCTATGTGCTATATATAATATTTTAAGTGAAAGTATTGTAAAATTAATAGTGTAAAATATTTATATTGTTCAGATTAAATGGAACATTTAACATCTGTGGATTTGTTTTTTTGGGGGGGTTGGTTAGGTCAAATTCTGGATGCGTTAGAAAAAAGGGATCTGAGCAACAAGACAGTTGTGTACTTCACATCAGACCAGGGGGCCCACCTGGAAGAAGTATCTAATACTGGAGAAGTTCATGGAGGATATAATGGAATATATAGAGGTGAGCATTCCCACATTAAGTGCATCAGTGTATGTCAGAAATTATTTATACTATATTTTGAGTCCAAAATTTTAAATACTCTTGCCTTCTGAATATTAAGCTTCTAGGATAGGGACAAAAATTACTCCTAAACTGGTATAAGTGATAAGGTAACCAGTTTAAATCTGTAATGCAACAGAAGTTCAGTGCATATCAACTACTTTTAAAATGGCTGAAACTGGTTTAAAATAAACCTGGATGGATATAGTATCAGACTTAAGTAATAAATAGGTTTATTGAACTTCTGTTCCAGATCCCCTCCAAATTCAAGTTAACTCACAGCCCCCCCAACATCCCAGGATGCTTTGCACCACCCCTGCAAACCCCACTCTCTCTCCCTCCCCACAAGGTTGGACAGGCTAGCTTAGGCCCAGCCTGTCTGCTCCAGTTGAGCAGGGAGGCTTGCTTTAGCACTTCTTGGCTTCTGGTCTGGGCCACTGCAGGCATGTGGTTGCCTTTCCAGAATCAAAAGTGAATGTGTTCACTTGTCTATTTGGTTCAATCTATACAACTTAGACTAACCTGCAAAGATTGAATTGATTCAGCCTTGGAGTTTTTGACTGTCTGTACTTAGCCCTAAGGTCCATAATGATAAATCATATTAGGTATCTAAATATAAATGGCTTGATTGTAAAAAATAAAAATAAAAAATTGAACATCTCCAGCTCCATTGGATTTCTGGTTATATAGCACTTCAACAAATACTTGTAAATTGACTAGAGGTCCAGGAAGAAAAGTCAGTACAACAACCTGAAATGCATGTTGTGAGATAATAGGGGAAAGAGGAGGTATCAAGAAGGGAGTCCTGTAAATCATTAGTGGCTGTAAGCAGGAGCTAAAGATGAGTCAACAGATTAAGCCAAATAGAGAGAGGAGAGGTGAGGGATAAGGACAGATTCCAAAGTGGCATCTATGGGAAGTGGAAGAAGAGGGAGACACAAAACCAGATCATAGCAGGGACATAAAAAATGAAAGAGGATGTCCTTGTTTCAAAAGGAAACACAATATGACTGATTTTTTTCACACTGAAAATACTGAGACAATCACTGCATGCCTCCAATTGAAGAAATCCTGTTGATGCTTGAGATCATTGGTACATTTGCCTTATTGTGATAGGATCTACTATATATGAGATCACATCACTATAACTTTTTAAATAGGATATGGTATATGTTGTAGCAATAAAATCCTATCTTAACAAGTGATCATTGAGGTATGGTGGGTGGGGGGTTCATTCCCTCTTTTCATATATTCCTGTCATAATATCCCTTGCCGAGTGATTTGACTTCAACCAATAAAAATAAATAAATGTAGTACATACATTTCAGCCAAAAGGTTATATTATTATGAAGGACAAACTACTTCTGGATAGGAGGAAAATGAGAAGGGGAAAAACATGGAAGAAACATAGGAGGAGGAAGATTTCCTTATAATTGTCCAAAACTCAGAAAAGAGTTGGTCATGTTCAGGAAACAGAGGGAAGAGATTTTAGAATATAAATCGGGGAGAGAAACTGCAAAAGAGGAGCAGTGAGAAAACTGTTTTAGTTCTGTTTGCTTTTGAAGTTGTTACTTATACCAGGAACTGGTACAGGTCTTCATTTACCCCATAGGAACAATGGGTGTACAGCTGCTCTGAAAATCAGACTTGTAATGTTTTCAGTAAGCTTCACTTCCATCAAAAAAAAGAGAAAAACACTTAGTTTTTACTTGGACAAGATTGAATCTCTCTGTTTTTTCGGGGTGGGGTGGGGTTCAAAATCTTGACTTACTTTTCAACCCATCCTACTTTGCGACCCCCACCCCACCTTAAAAAACTAAGAAAAAAAAGAACAAAAGAGGGAACTTGAATATAAGCCTGTAACTTTGCAAGTTATAACTTTGTAGATAGGGTATCACACTGCATGTGGATCTGATTTCAGAAAAGCAGAATAATGACATTAATTCTCAGCCATTAGATAGGACTTTACATATTCAAAGACCATAGTAGTACATACTTGTAGCTGTAGGCATGGCCTGAAGTATTTTGAAAGCTCTAAAAAGGTTAGAATTATAGACTGTCAGAGATAAGTTATGAGAAAAAAGATGAATTAATTGGGGAATGTACCTGTCTTTAGAACTATCATGTAATGGCATATTTTCCAGCCATTTTATGTGTAGTATTTTATTTATACTTGTTAAACAACAGTCACAAATTTGAAACAGATCTTAGTTTAATCAATACAGATTTGATGGATAGAATCAACAAAAAACATAGGATGCTTGAATACGTGATGAAAATTGGCCATTTTTGCAGTTTAATTGCATCACACTGTACACATGCAGGGATTTTTTATAATTTAAATGAGGTTGCTACATTGCAAACTGAACCACATCTGCATGTAGTTTAGTTTGCAATGTAGCTATTTGTAATTTTGCCGTCTTTTGACAGCTCACTCCCCCGCTCAGGAGAGGCGAGTTGAAGGCAGAAGCAGTGAGAGGCCTGATCCTTTTTTTCTTTTTCACAGATCCTGCCCACATCTCCCAGAGCCAGGGGGTGAGCTGCCAGGCTGAGTGGCCCCTGAGCTGCAGAGGGCCCCAGTTCTTTCTTCTGCAGTGGTGGTGCCTCTTGGGGTCACCCAGGCAGGTTACTAGCAGGCGCTTGCTGCCCTGCTCATGCTCAGAGAACAGCTGGATCAGGCTGGGTGCTGTGGAGCCTGCCCACCTCTCCCACAGCTGGGGTCAAGCTGCAGGCAGGTCCTGAGTGTGGGGACCCTGGGCCTTCCCTTTATTGTGGCACTGCCCCCTGGGTAGCACTTGCCCATTAGCAAACCACCCAGGTGGCCCTGGGGGGGGTGCCGCCACCATGGAGGAAAGGACCCACCCCCCACAGCTCAGGGTCTGCTCAGCCAACTGGCAACTTATCCGCCAGCTGTGAGAGATACAGGCATGCTCCGCAGGGGGAAAAAAAAGGATTGGGCCCCTCACTGTTAATGGTGATGGAAGCCACTGAATTGAAACAGTGGGTTTTTAATCATCACAGTTAAAAACCCACCATTTCAATTTAGGGGACTAAAGCCCTGTCACGTGTACCAGTCGCCAGAATGGACACTTTTTCTTTCAAAATGAATTATCATGTGATTTACAGATGTGTCATAAGGTAAGCTGATAAATACACCAGCCCTGGCTAGTAGCAATGGCAGCAGCTCAGCCCAGCCCCAGAGCTGGGGCTAGAGGTGCTGTACCCCACCACTACCATGCCAGGTTGTGCCCAGAGAACCCTTGCCCAGGGCTGGAGCAAGGGCAAGTGGTGGGGAAGCGAGGGGCAGGGGGCTGAGGCTGCAATGGCAGTCCAGTCATGGGAGGCAGAGGCTACAGCAGGGGGAGACAGAGCAGGAGGGGCAGGCAGCACCCAGAACTCCAGCCCCAGCCCTGAGTCGGGGACGGAGCTGGAGCAGCTGCCTGCTCCCGCTACCACCACCTCGAATTTGATTCCAAGATGAGGCATTTCCCCCTATATAGTGTGTGTGTGTGTGTGTGTGTGTGTGTGTGTGTGTAGGGGGGAAGCCCCTCATCTTGGAATCAAATAAATATGGTATTTTGGCAGATTTTAAAAAACAGTGGATTATACTGCTCTTCACCAAATCGAGAGGTCTCTTTTTAACTTATTGGTATGCCATTCTTCATTTTCAAGAGGGCACTTGTGAAAATGAACACTGATATACATAATCTATTACTTTTATGTAAAGACCCACGTTTCCATAATCAATCATATACATGCAAATTGGTGTGCAAGACCTGTGTAAATTTGGATGGCTGACTTTATGAACATCAGCCTTGCTAAAATACCAGGCACTTGATAAAGTATGTGTAGAAAATTCTCAGGACAAGAAAGCTATCCATCTTGCCCTTGTGCACGTACATATATATTGGAATTTAGAGCCTCTGATTATTATCTTACTAAAACTGAAAGATGAGGATATACTTTTTAAGGAGATACCTCACTATGTATCATAGCTCAATATTTTGTATTTCAATATATGAAAATGTAACTATGAATTGAACCACTTAACCTTCTTATCAGATGTAGCAATTCACTCAGCAATAAATGGTTCTGTCCCCAGTCAAAACCTCTTAATAGATCTTCACAATTTGAACCCACTTATTTGTTGATACACAGCCAAAACAATAGCAATAATAAAATTTATGAGCTGTTTGGCTGGAGTGACTGGCACTACTCACTAAATTACAAGAAGATGACATCACTTGTCTTGTGTTTTGAAAGTTCATGTTCTGATTATAGTCTAATATCTGAAAAGATTAGTACCAGGAGAAAGTACAGGCCAGATTTATTAAGCAGTTAATTGTTAACCTAAATAACTTTGTAACCTGCGGATTCTGCTGTTTCACTACTAAGTCTCCTTGCCACATGTTTAGCAAATATATTAATCAGTGTTGAACCTAATACTTTGAGGCATCTTGCAGTTAACATTATGACATGAGGAAAATTGATCAATTATTTCTTCTTGGTTTCCTCCTTTTGGCCACTTTTTGATCCATGACTGCCTACTTAAGTTTTTTTTAGATGTGTCTTGTGAAGGCTCTTATCTCTTTTTAAAATCTAACTTGTGCTAATCTGTAAGTCTTCAGAATAGTGAGACAGTAGGCATTTTTCTTAGGAACTCAGCAGAGTTCTTCCTTGAGTTCCTTAAAAATTCTTGGATGTTTGCTATGATGCTAATCAGGCCCAGTTTCTTATTGCTTTAAATAATCACTTTATTCCAGCACCATTTCTGTTCTGTCTCCAACTCCTTTGACTACTCCATCTTTATTACCTTTGCATTGGACCCATCAATATTTGGAAGCTTATTGATTCAGGCGTGCTTCAAAATCTATTAGGTTTTTTTTTCTATACATTTTTTCAATTAGTTCTTCAAATTCCATATTCACTCTCATGATGTCCTTAATACAGATTGCTTGCTT